GGCACGGGAAGGGGCGGGGGAGGGGGGGGGGGGGGTAACCCGCAGGAGCATCGCCCTCCCCAGCTGTGATCCGGCGGCCAGGAGGGAGCAGCCCTCTTCTACCCAGTCCTTTCAGTCTGGCGGCCAGCTGCGCAGGGACAGAGGGCACAAGGAAAGGGGCTGAAGGGAGGAACAAAAGCACCCAGGAAATGGGCTGAAGGGAGGTACAAAAGCACCACTGTTCAGGACTAATAATTCAAAACCAGGTACTTTGGGAAGCGAATTTAAATCAGATCACCAATATTTACACACTATGTGACTAATAGTTACACGACTTTCGCATGTTTAAGGCTCAGGCTGCCTTAAGGGCAGGTCTGGTAATGCGGGTGGATGTGGGGATCAAAGCAAGGCGCCTGACTGTATTTGCATGAGCAGGCACAGAGAAGTCTTCTTGTTTTTTTTTTTGGTGGTGCCAGGATTGAATGCAGTACCTTGTGCTTGCCAGGCAAGCTCTTATTCTACTGAGCTATCTCCCCGGCCCTAAAAGCCATCTTAAAACATGCCACCAATTCCTCTGACTAAAGGAGCGTTCCCAAAGTAGCAAACTCCGAAAATGCCTGCTTACTACCAAGTTCTGCGACCAGCCCCTGGCAACACCCAGTGAATCTGAAGCACTGCGGAGGGACCCAGAAATGGCACTGACAGCACGCCCCAGGTCTGCCCGGCCGGAAGCGTGAGGCCCCGGGAGGCAGGGCTGCGGGCGGGCGGGCGGGAGAAGGGGACGCGTCAAGGATTTCCCAGACTTTCCCGTCCTAAGAGGAGAGCGAGCGCCACCTACTGCCTCATGCTAGAATGCAGGGTAGAGGTACTGTAACTGAATTCACCAGGAATCATGAATGAATCCTAAATTAGGTGTGCAAACAGCGAGAAATCATTGTGACGAAACATAAAAACAGAACTTATTTAACTGGCAGAAAACTTTCAAAGTTAAACTGCTTTTGGAGCTTTAAGTATCTAGTAACTGCTCTAATTTCAACGTACTGACACAACAGTAAAGGAAAATACAAGCCTTTCTCCACTGGCCTGGCTGGGCCCACAGTGGAAGGAGAAACAGAATCCCTGAATTCCAGAAACCACCGCAGTGAAGCAACACACGGCCCCTCCCTCCCGGGCAGCCCTGTTCCAAGAGAAAACCCAGCGCAATGAGGACAGACTCGCCTCTCCTTAGCACTCTACTTCAAATCTAGACACCTGACTCCATTGGCAGGGCGGTCACCATTCCCTTCAGAAGGCGCTGCAAAAGCCTCGTGAGTTAGTCTCTTACTATGCTTGACGCTCATTCCCCTTCCACGGCTTTCAAAAGAGATGGGCAAAGCCTTATAAATATGCATATGAAATGTGTAGCTGTACATCACATTTCAATAATTCAATGACAAATCATAAAAAGTATTTGTATTAAATCTTTTTTTATTTTTAAAAATAAAGGGCAGCGCACACACCCTGGAGAGGCCAAGGCCCTCACAGAGTGTGGATGATGGTCCGACTGCGCAGCTGCTGCACGTACTCCTTCGCGTGCTCCATGGCCGTCTTCCGAGGCTCCGGGGCAGGCGGGGGGCCTTCCACCAGCTTCACAAAATAATGGCAATAAACCTTCTCCATGATCCCAAAGCGACCTCTGCCGTGGTAGCGGATGCCTTTCAGGCACTGGCCACGCCCTGTCTTGGACTCAGCTACAGAGGGAAGAAAAAGAGGAACAGCTGTTACCCATGACTAGTCTCATCAGCGGGGGCAGTCTCCGTCCTTTCCCCAACAGGATCTGAAGACTGCACAAGCTCACTGTGCACAAAGCAGGCTCATCTCAAAACAAGCACCATCTGAGCCCTGAGGACCAGGTGCCATGTTAGGAGAACAAGGCGGGACCAAGACTGGCAAGGCTCTACTCCCTGCGGTTTACATTCTGGAGGGGAAAGAGAAAACACAGTAATTTCGGTGAGCTGCAAGTGCTCGGAATAAAGTGAATCAGAGAGATGGGATGGAAATTGACAGGGTGGTAGGAGCAACTTCATACTGGGGATGTCGAGTAGCTTGCTGGGGAAAGGACTTTTGATCTAAGACCAGAGCATGTAGGGACAGCATGCAGGCAGTGGGAACAGCAGGACACCACAGGAAGGGAAGACAGTACAAACAGGAGGCAGAGGTCAGGAATGAGGGTGGGGAATAGAGCGTGGGGCCCTGCAGGTTCCAGGAAAGAGTTCGGACTCCATTCTCATCATGAGAACTAGCTGCTGGGGTGCTGGGTTCCCAAACACTGCTCTCAGCACTTAAAACCCAACTCCGAGACCCCCTGTCTGTGAGGATTCCAACTCAGTGCACTTGAGGTGGGCCTCGGAAACAACCCGAGCGAGCAGACCCAAGGAGACCAACGCACAGCCAGTGCTAGGAACGCACCACCACGACCGTGCCAGCAGCTCCCCGCCCCACTGTGCACATCCGAGTCTGACCTTGAAAACATGAAGAAACCTTTTTAAAAGTACTTGAGAAATCTGGCCACCTCTTCACCCACAGTACATCAAAAGAGCAGTTGCCTACTATTTTCTGAATGTATATAGTCAGTTACTCTTTGAATTAATAATTTTTTTTAAAAGGTACAATGTGCCAGGCCTTGTGTCTATAATCCTAGCACTCAGGAGGCTGAGCCAGGAGGACTGCTGCAAGTTGGAGGCCAGCCTGGGCTACATACTGAGGTTAGAGCCAGTCTGAATTGCACAGCAAGATCCTGTCTCCAAACAAGCAATAAAAACAGTAAAATAATGCACTGCATCAATCCATTTCTGTATTCATCATCCTTGCATTCACACGGTAATATAACTACAAGCACGGAGGTTCTTTAACTGCGATGCCTGCCCATGAAGTGGGCTTCTGCAGAAGCAGCCTCCTGGCCTCCCAAGAGAAGGCTCAGAGTGAAAGCGCTGGCAAAGGGCTGGGCTCCCGGGAGGACAGCGGAGTGCCAGCGCCCTGTGTCAGCGTCACCTCCCCAGCACTCTGGAGAGAAGCCTAGGAAGTTCCAAAGAGAGAGCAGCACTGTGCAAGCCCCACGATCAGGAAGCACAGCGAGGTGCCATGGATCAGTGTGCGCAAAGAAACCCCCAAGAATGGCAGACAGAGAAGAGTAGGAAACTGCTAAAGAAGCTTTCCACAAGCACAATGGCTGCTTCTATCCAAAACCGCTATTCCACTCAACCTGACTGCCCACCTGGAAATAATGATACAGGACTATTGCTCTAGTGAACGATGTATCTGTATTACTCTTCATTGTGGTCCCAGATCACATGCTATTTTTTATAAGTATTGACTGCTTCAGCACTGGCCCCAAGGGCAGCACAGCGAGCCAGCCACAGACTCAGACCTCCCAAACTGTGAGCCAAAACGAAGCTCTTCACAGGTTTAGTTACCAGAGGTACCCGTCCCAGAGCTGGGAAGCTGACTGACCCAGCACTCCAAGGAAGGAGCGGAGTACAGCCTTCACACCAGCCGCTGCTCTGCCGTCTGCAGTCTCCTCCTCTAATCCTGTATGTGAAGGGCTGCAGGCTGCTTTCGGACATGAAAGCACTTCCATTAACGGGACGCAACACGCTGAGGCCCGACCCACAGAGCACTGCTGCGTGACTCTCTTCCCTGTGATGCAGGCAAGGAACAGCTCCTCAGGTGCCACCCTCACTCAAGATGTCTCGGAGTTCCTGCCAGGCACCAAGTGCTCGCCCAGCTCCGGGGTACAGTAAGGACTAGGACCCCACAGGAGGCCTGGAGCACAGTGCTAAAGCTGCTGCTTCCTTGCTAACACCAATCTCTTGCCCAAACTTCCTGGTCCCTCCTTCTTAACACAGCTTGAACCAAAGGGGAAAGCTTGTCAGCAGCTGAGCTTGGCCTGGTCCTCCGGTTTTATTTGCTCCCTGTAGCTCACTCCATGTGGCCCAACCCCTGCTCAGCCTCTGGGTCTATGCCTTCCCAGTCTGCAAAGCTGTCCTCCTGGACATCGCTCCAGATTCCCAAAAGCCTGTGCTCAATAAAAAAGTCTTGTAGAAAATCTCCATAACTATTCTGACCCACACTGATCTTTTCTACTTCAACAGTACCATGTATCTGTATTACTCTTCACTGTGGTCCCAGATCACATGCTATTTTTTATAAGTATTGACATTTCACCTGGAAAAGTCACTCTCTCAACCAAACTTAAAAAACTATTTTAGGGCCGGGGAGATGGCTCAGTGGAATAAGTGCTTCCCTGGCAAGTCCAAGGGCCTGAGTTCAATCCCCCGTTCTGCCAAAAATAAGGAAAAAAACCTATCTTCACATTGCCCTGTAAGTTCATGATCCACAAAGAACAGAAATAATCTTTAAATGTATCCTCTGCTAACTGGTATTATTTTTTAATAGAGGAACTGGCAGAAATTTATTCAAATTCTGACACAAGCATCAAAATTTTCCAACTAGACATAGTACTAGTGATGTGCATGGCTTTGCGCCAACTTGGAACCTTCTAAAGGAATACTACTTACTGCCAAAGAGCAAAACTACGTGTGCTAGATGTTTTAAAGTGATATAAAAGATACGCCAACACCTAGTAGCAGTTGTACACAGACTGAAGGTAATTACTTTCTGAATGAAAGAAAATACTAAAATATCACAAAAATGGAAATGATCTACTCTCTAAAGATAATTCCCAAAAAGTAGCATGTATTTAAAATACTGCCAACGCTGTCTATTGCCACTATGTAGATAAATGTGAATCTCGACGATGGAACACCAGAGGGTCTCTGGTCTACCTCACACTTGCCGCGCAGAGGACTGACGTAGCATGCTGGCAACTGCTTTCCCTAAAGTGAATCATTTTGGATGCCATGAATCCCTGGGCAGCAACACTGTCCACTATCTAAGGCCTGTTCAGTGTCACTAATTATCATTGTACGTTTAAAAGGAAAACAGACTTGCTAAATCTGCAGTCATCTAACACCAGGTATTATACTGATGACAGACAGAGGAGGTAATTACCAACTATGAGAACATTCGGTGCCCAAAAAGCACTTCCTTTAAATGCCTGCATTCATTTCAGGGCACTGGAAGAGCCACTGCTAAGCCCAAGAAGCATCCTGCATGTGGCCAGTCCTCCACCTCCCCAGTAGGAGTCCACACAGTGGCACAGTGAGGCCCTTCAAGTAATGACACAAGGTAAAGCAGTGTCTTGCCTTTTGTGAGAGCCACTATGGGCCTACCCACAAAAAGGTTCCAGGTCTGGCCCCTCAGGTTTCAAAGCCAAACAGTCTCTGCAAGACCAGGAAATCTGTTTTGATAAGAACTTCATATGACTCTTAAAGCAGTTTGCCAAATACAGACATAAACGTCCAGCGTGCCATGGTGAGAGATGTCCTCTGCCTCAAGGTATTCACCTCTTGCTTATGGGATTGGGCATTAAGATAAATGAAAAGCTCTTGGCTTTGTTGTTGCTGTTGCAGTCCTGGGACTGCGCTCAGGTCCTGTGCACTGAACTATGTACGCAATCCTTTTTTAAAACAGGTTTTAATTTTTAAAAAAAGCTCTCCCCAAGTCACATCACCCCAGCTGGGCACGCACTTGGTCCCGTCCCTCACCTCGCAGGGTGCTGGGATCACAGCACATGCAGCACTCCCAACTTGTCACAGGCCCGACCCAGACTTACAGCTCTACATAGGAAGTGCTGATATTTACACAGAACTAGATGAAAAGGGCTCAGTTAGGGCAGAGATTTTTCAGCAGGAAAATGAATAGAGAGCGCTCTGAATTAAAGGCTAATTTACGGAGCAGTGGTTAACTATATAGCTTCACTTAATGGCAACACGGGACTTTGTGCCTCCATTTGAGACAATCAAATTAAGTTCCTCATCCTGTCTCTCTTTAGTCACTGAAAAGGATTAAAGGTGGTTTCTGAAAATGATTTAAAGACAAACCTAGCATCACTGGTGTCTGAATCCCAACACAAAGTCTCTCAGCTAAGAATCCCATATTCCTATGCAACTGAATAAAACTAATTAAATTAGATTTGATAGTAGGAGTCACAGAAGAGGGAAGGTCACCCGGAGGCTTTCACTAAACGCTCTTGCTCCTTATTCGCTCTTGCTCCTTATTCATTTCATCCCTCCCAAGGATCTCCTCAGAATTACTTATGCAGGGGCTGGGGAGATGGCTCAGTGGAATAAGCACTTCCCTGGCAAGCACAAGGGCCTGAGTTCAATCCCTGGTTCTGCCAAAAAAAAAAAAAAAAAAAATTACTTATCCACGCTACTCCCAGAAGGGGAAATGTTCGTGCTGAGCCGCTGTGGCCCTCCCTCTTCTGAGCTGCCAATCTGATTTCCCTCTGCGTTTGTGCATGTATCAGAACAAAATGCATATTCAGCTTTAAAGATACGATACTTCAACTGAAAATCATAACTCATTTGCATTTCAGAAGCCAGTGTCTCCTTGTACCAATTCCACGAGTGGAGGTGAGATTTTAACTTAACCAGAATTAACACCACCAAAAGGGAAGAACTTATGAGACAAAGTACAATTCAGATTACTTCTTTATACTGATTGTTGAAAAATTACAAAATACAATTAATTCCGCCTGCAATGTCTCAGCCTTTCCCCCTCATGTGGAAAAACAGTGCTTCCCAAACCTGAAATTTAAAATAGTTTTAGGTAAAACAGTCCTTAGATATGCAGGTTTTGAGAGACTAGAGAAAAATGTTGCTCAACATCAACATGTCTGTGTGAAAACAATACCCCAGCTACTGCTCCACTCCACTGCGGTGTCCAAGAGGGAGGGAGGAGGGAGAGAGCTGTGTAATAAATGTCTCTCTCCTCCTAAGGAGAGCTGTCAAAAGGCACACTGGCCGACTCCCAGGAGTGTGGACAGCACGTCCCGCTCCCCACAGCATTTCACCAACATTAACTCACTGTGATATGGAACAAGCACGCAACAGCAGAGCTAGGGCTTCACATGCAGTAAGAAGCAGGAAGACACATGCAGACCATCACAGCCTTCCGAGGCCACTGGCTGTCTTTTTTCTCTTTTGGGGCCACTGGCTGTTCTCTGCCTCTGTTTGTCTCTCTGCCTCTGTCTGTCTGTCTGTCTGTCTGTCTCCTTCTCCCCCCACTCCCCTCACACTCCCCCTGTCTCCCTCCCTCTATCTTTTTGAGACAGGCATGTGCTATACAGTTCAGGCCGGTGTCAAACTCACAGATCCTCCTGCCTCAGCCTCCCCAGAGCTGGGATTACAGGTGTGCACCACCACGCCCAGATGCGCCACTGGCTTTTACAATTCAATGGCTATTCCATTCTCATAACTGGAAGATGATGTCACAGGCCACCTGTGTGGATTAGACATCCGGCTTGGCATATTACAAACAAAGATATTTAAGTTCACATGTAATCCTTCATTTCCTTCCAGTATGCATTTACTTCTTCCAAGTCAGTTATGTTCTTTTGTAGTACTGTTAGGATTAAAGGCCCAGTGTACATACCAGCTGTAGAATCCATTATTTAATAATTATTTGCAAGGATTTCATAACCTTAGTGTCCTCATACAAGAATAAAGAAATACAGGGCTGGCGAGACAGCTCCACGGACTAAAGCGCCTGCTTCAGCAGAGCATAGCAGCCGGGGCTGAATCCCTGCAGGGCTGTGCCGGTCCCACCCCCAGGGCGCACTGAGACTGTGATTGAGACTGGGTGTGGTAGTGCACACCTGTAATCCCAGTGCTTGGGAGGCTGAAAACAGGAGAATCGCTAAGAGTCCGATCTATGGATCTCTGCAGTAAGATCTTGTACACCCTATATACCATGTCCTAAATTCATTTTTTAAAAGAAGGAATAAACCAGCATAGACTCTTATGACACAGTCCCACTGATAAGCTTACGGGTGAAGGATAAGCTGTTACCAGCAAATTGCACTGCCATACCCAGCCCTGTGCAGTCAGACGTAAATAGCGGTGTCAGATCAACAACATGGCCTCACGGCTGAAAGACGTTTCCAATGCTAAGATATGAAAAAACATACCTACATACAAATTGGACCTGAATTCCACATTGTGGTCTTTCACTGCCATATCCTGAGCTTGTAAGAGAACCTTAAAGAGAAGAAAGACATTTTCATATCTAATCCTGAACTAAGCAGAATTAAATCTCTCATCTCTTAATACTTCTGTAATATAACTGATGATCACATGCCCCATTTTATTATCATTTTTAAAAGGAGAAACTCAAGTGGTTAAAAATACTAGGCAGAAAGGATGCTATGAGCACCCTAGTCAGCAGGAGAGGGCCCGCCAGCTGCCGTCTAAGTGGCGCAGGCAGCTGGAAGGAGACGGGCATGGGCCGGCACCCCAGAAGGGGCATGCTTCACTGGGCCAGGGGCTTGTCAAAATTCTTGTGAAACGCAACAGGAAAATCATGATGAAAATTCTTAAACTTCAGATCCAAGTTACTTTAACAACCTCAGTTAAGTAGACAATATCAAACCTGATCACTTTCTTTTTTTATTTATTTTGTGTGTGTGGCCAGCTCAGCCCACCAGGGGGCGGGGCTGACTGGCATGTGGTGCAAGGGGATTGAACCGCGGTCCCTGTGCTTTGCTTTGCTTAGCTTAGCTTGTTCTAAGTAGGTGCTTTAGACCACTGAGCCATCTCACCAGCCCCCTGATCACTTTCTTTAAGAGGTTAAAGTTACAAAATTTACTCTCCGTGGAGAGAACACACTTGAGAACACACTTTTAAAAGAAAGACAATTAGCTTCAGAAACTTCCTTGAGAACACACTTTTAAAAGTAAGACAACTAGCTTCAGAAATAAAAGAAACCAGAGGTTACACCTTTAGAGAGGAAGAACTAGGTGCAGGCTGAACATACAACAGATACTTAGCAAGAACTGACTTTATTTTTATTTTTTTGGAATCAAGTCAACAACTTTATCATCAGTCACATAACTTCACACAAAACAAAACTTAGCAATGGGTCAGAGTTAAAAATATGGAACACTTCACAAATTTGTGTGTCATCCTTGCGCAGGGGCCATGTTGATCTCTGTATTGTTCCAATTTTAGCGTATGTGCTGCCAAAGCGAGCACAAGCACTGGCTTCAGAGTGGGGCATGATGGACACACATGGCTGTAACCCGCTCGGCACTCTGGGAAGCTCAGGCAGGAGGACCTCAAGACTGAGCCCAGCCTGGTCTACTTAGCAATGTGGCAAGAACCTGTGTCAAAATAATAAAAATTAAAAACAGCTGGGAATGTATAGTTCCGTGTGAAGGTCTTGCATCCAATTTCCAGTACCATGGGGTGGGGCTGACTTCAGGTAAGAATTAAATAAAGAGGGCCGGCCAGATAGCTCAGCGGACTAGAGCGCCTGCTTAGGCACAGTACAGTGGCTGGGGTTCAATTCCTGGAGTGCCAGGGCACACTGAGACAGCCACTGGGACTGGGCGTGGTAGTGCAGCCTGTAATCCTAGCACTTGAGAGGCTGAAAATAGCAGAATCACTTCGAGTCCAATCTATGCAGTAAGACCCTGTAAGCCCTGTAGACCCTGTACTAAAATATATGTAAAAAAAAAAAAGAATTAACTACAGATATAAAAAATAATGCTGAAATTTCTAGGCAACAAAAGACAACAGTCAACAAAACTTTTTTTTAAAAGGACATTTATGTACCTCGAATGAATCAGCAAAATTAGCAACATCTCTGTACCTAGACAATTACATTTAGAATTGGGAGGGTCTTTAGAAATTACCCAATCTGATCCCACCTAACACATAAATACAAAAAAATTAGAAACAGACAAAGTAACTGGATTGGCTGTGGTCATTTAAAAAAAGACAGAAATATGAGATTCCAAGTCTCCTAAGCTACTTCAGTGTTCTTTCTATTCAACTAGTTACAAAATCATAAGCTCTTATGCGGGATTTCCTCACTGGAAAAAAGTCTAAAAAATATGCCAATGGCTAAGGAGATAATTCAGGGGCATAACTGCCTGTCTACAAGCACAAGGTCCAGTATTTGATCCCCAGCACCAAAAAAAAAAAAAAAAAAA